GATCTTGACATCAGTTCTTTGAGAAATGATTGAAAGGAATTTGTGCTCACGCACCATCCTACTAATTCTTGCAAAGGACAGAGTTCTTGAAGAAGAACACTGCTGATTCTGCTCCATCATGCACTGCGCCATCTTCAGTGGGAGCAGTCTTTGGATCCTTCCTTGGGCATGAACACCTTCGTTGGGAGATACTATTTCTCCAGATCAGGTATAATCCTCTCCTATTCCTTTTGGTTCAGATCTGGTTTAGTTTATGGTTCAAGAATTATCCTTGAAAATATGATTTTCTAAAATAGGGAATGTGATTCCCAGTTGAAGGGAGAGAAAAATTTTTGAAATTCGCCCCCTTATTCCGCAATCTTTGGGCGTCCATACGATGGATCTCTCATCCCTTCAATACAAAGCATATAAAATGTTGTTCATCATTTGAAGGTCTCTTGTATGATTGTTCTCGTGCTGGTCTGAACTCTGAAGAGGCTAAAAATTTGAATTTTGAACTTCTTTAACGTGAATTTTCTTATATGAAGATGGCTATGTTCGATCAAATATACTCAAACCATCAACCAAAGGGACCTTAAACCTCCTCAGGGCATGCTCCAAAGCAAAATCAGTGAAAAGGGTTGTCTTCACATCGTCTATCAGTACCATAACTGCAAAAGACGAAGCGGGGAAATGGAGACCAAAGGTGGATGAATCTTGCCGTGTTCCGATTGATCATGTCTGGAATTTAAAAGCAAGCGGATGGGTAAGGAGAAACTTCTTTTTCTGCTGATCTTATTTTTATTACTGGTACATGCCGATCGAGCACACACCACCAGTAAAAGATATTCATCACGTTCATCTCTACTAATAAAAGATATCCAAATTAAAGGTCTACGCACTCTCAAAGCTTATGTCAGAGGAAGCTGCCTTCCAGTTTGCAGACAATTACGGATTGGATGTTGTATCAATAATACCAACTACCGTGGCCGGTCCATTCCTCACATCGGCTGTCCCAACAAGTATCCAAGTTCTCTTGTCACCAATCACAGGTGATTTCAGCTATTGTGATCATCACCTTTCTATCTTAATTCATCCTACCTCAACATATATATAGGAATGTGGATGAAAACATGTTTGAATTGGCACTCCTGTACAGGTGACCCTGAATTTTATCCAATATTATCTGCCGTGCATTCGAGATTGGGGTCAATCTCAGTAGTTCATATTGAAGACGTATGTAATGCCCACATATTCTTGATGGAGGAAGTTGCAGCCAAAGGTCCATATATTTGCTCTGCCCACAGTTGTACTATGGGACAATTGGTCCACCTTCTTGCTCAAGAGCACCCTTGCTTCAATAAACAAAGGTAGGCTTAGCTTTCTCCTTCATACCTCAATAAGCTCTAATTTTAGCTAGGGAAGTGAGAGTAATATCAATCACTGCTACGCTGTTGCATGTTTTTCCAGGTTTTGTGAGGAAGAAAACAGCTCTGTCCGTTCATTGATTTCTTCCAGAAAGTTAAAAGCTCTGGGTTTCGAGTACAAATACAGCTTAGGAGATATAATCCTTCAGAGTGTAAGTAGCTGCATACAGCATGGCTTTCTGCACGAAACCAGCAATTAATTGCGGTATTCTTAGAAATTGATTTAATTGAAGAACTCTATGCAGTTTAATTAATTGCGGTATTCTTAGAAATTGATTTAATTGAAGAACTCTGGGTTTCGAGTACAAACTACTAAACCTGTAGTTTAATTAATCCACCTTACAATACTTTTAGCAGTTGATTTAATTGAAGAACTCTATGCATTGCACTCTCATGAAGCCTAGCATGAGCAGGAACCACACTAATCAGCTGTTGACCATGGAAAAAGGTCATTACCCAATTGTGGGGTTTCTATCATCTGGGGTCCTTTTCTACTTTTCCAACCCAGCTATATGGGGTCTTGGGAAGACCTTTAGCACTTTTCACACAAAGTGACCGCTCTCAGACTTGAACCCACATTTTCAAGCTTACCACCCTGAGATTAATAAATCAGTTGTTCTGGTTTTATGGTTTGTAATACGTCACAACATAGTGGAATCAGTGTTCTTTGTGTAAGCGTAGTCTATCAAAATTATTTCATTATCTCCTTCCTTTTAGGAGATAGTTGTACATACCGTATCTTCTCTTCTTTTCTTATTGTATCCTCTTTAGGTCACCGACCTTGTCTCCCTATTGTATCCCTATTATAATTAGCTCTATTATAAATAGAGTTGTAGCCTATTGAATTGAATATATCAAGAGAAACTATTATCTTCTCCATCCTTCTTGGTTCGTATCATCCTTCTTGGTTCGTATCATGGTATCAGAGCCTGTGATACTTTATCAGATCCGTCCCTCCACTTGAGCTTCGTTGGCGCCCTCTCATGAGTACACACTGTCGTTGCACCGGTTATCGTAGCACCTCGGGTTGAAGGCTAGCTCCCTCGCATAACTGCCCGTCGTGATCGTCGTCCTGTACACGACTTCTGGTGCACGCAGAAAACTGAGTTCAATTCTTATTTGCTTCTTCTTCTTCAAGCCCAGTGTAGAGGTAAACAGAGAACTGAAGCTTGGATCCTTCATCTTCCAAGTATGCGACCAGACCGACAACTCCTCTGCCTCCGGTTGGCTACGGAACAAACTTGAATCCTCTGTCCTCCGTCTTCCAAGTCTGCGACCAGACCAACGACTCCTCTGCACTGCTCCGGTTGGCTGTGGAACAAGCTTGGATCCTTTGCGACCATACCAACGGCTGGCGTTTTGAACGAGATCTTACCGGAAGCAGGGTCATCGAGGTAGATATCCCAGAGGGTGACCCAACTCGAACCAGGAGCTCCTTACTCTTGATGCTGATCAGCTTCTTCATCCGGTGGTTCTCCATGAAGGCGATAATCTCATTCGCGTACGAGACCTGCTTCCCGTGCACTTGAAGGTGTGATGCGTTCTTCCTCCTTAAGCCAGACAAACCCGGCTTCCCTGTTGTAGCCCACCTCCTCCGTTCCATCTAGTGGCAACAGACTCTTGGGCAGTGATATCTCCTCCAGAAGCTGTAGCGATTTCTTCTTGCAGAGAGCATCTCGGCCTTCTCTCTGTAATTCTCAATCCATGACTCGCCATTGCTGTTGTCTGAGCTGGTCGCTAAGGCTTAGTTGGGGGAAGACAGAAACAGAATTAACTGAAGAAAGCAAGAAAAGGAACATGTGATTTGCGTTGCTCGAGAGTTTTGTGTTTCTCCTCATGGATTCATCTGAAGCTACTCAACATATCTCTCATCCCATCACTGTTACCTTCGATGGCTCAACTTATGATTTATGGTCGCAGGAGATGTGCAGTTTTCTCAAGGGACGCCTTCTATGGCGATATGTGACGGGTGAGATTCCCAAACCTACCAAAATTGCTGATGAAACAGAAGATAAATTTGCTGAACGAGTAGAAAAATGGGATGGGAAAAATCATCAAATATTAACATGGTATTGCGAGCATCAAGTTGGAATTTCGCAGATATGACTCTCCTAAAGAGGTATGGGATTTCTTACATGTTCGTTATTCTATTTCTGATGATGTGCATCGGTTTCAGCTCTATAGGCGTCTTCACCGTATGAAGCAGCAACCTGAACAGACCATTCACAGTTATGTCTCTGAATTACAAGTTCTTTGGGATCAGTTAACTCAGTGTGAACCTGAATGGGATAGTACCTCTGCAGCTACTACTTATTCCAAGCTTCGTGATCGCCAACGTGTTTGGCATCTTCTGATGACTCTCAGGGATGAGTATGAACCTATTAGCGGTACTCTACTTCATCATAGCCCATTGCCTTCTCTTGAAGTTGTGATCAAAGATTTGCTCTCTGAAGAAACTCGTCTAAAAACACTTCGAGATGAGCGATCCTTATTATCTACTGATGTTGTTCTTACTACTCCGGGTACGTCTGCTACTAAATATTCAAAACGAACTTTCTACAATTACTGCAAGAAGACTGATCACACTATTTCGGAGTGCCGCCGCTTGCAAGCCAAAAAGGCGTCTGGATAGAAGTCCTCATCCATGGGTTCTCAGGCTTCGAGTTCTACTGCAGCTGCTGCCACAAAGAATTCTTCTAATAACACCTCTCCAAAATTTTCTCTTAGAGAACTTCAAGCTCTTCTTCACTAGCTCCAACCTGATTCTGGTATGCCTTCTAATTCAGTCTTGTCCGTCACTCCAGGTACTACCTCATCATGGTATTTTGATTCTGCCTGTTGCAATCATATGACATCCAATTCATCACTGTTTACTTCCAAGTCACATCCTTCTATTGCACCAATTGTTCATACTGTCGATAGTTCCACCTTAACTGTCAAAAGTGTAGGCACTATTTTAACATCTCGTTTGTCACTTCCTAACACTTTTTTGGTACCTAAATTATCTCTAAATCTTATATCTGTTGGACAATTATGTGAACTTGGTTTTGAACTACAATTCTCAAGTCGTGGTTGTACTATGAAGGATCCATGGACAGGGAAGATCATTGGGACAGGCCGTAAGTTTGGGAGACTATTTGAGCTATCATCTCTTCAATTACCATCACTTGTTGCTATTGTCACCTCTAGTGTATGGCATTCTCGTCTTGGTCACATTTCTACCTCTAAATTAGGATCTTTAATTTCTAATGGATGTTTGGGTCATGTTAAAACAACAGACTTTGATTGTGTTTCATGTCCTCTTTCAAAACATCATGATTTGCCTTTTACTATATGTGATTATGTTTCTTCTGCACCTTTTGATCTTATCCATTCTGATACTTGGGGCCCTTCGCCTCATAATACCATGGGTGGTTCGCGTTATTTTGTGATATTCGTTGATGATTTCTCTCAATATACATGGATTTATCTCATGCGTAATAAATCTGAATTACCTGCAATTTATATTCAATTTGCCACCATGATCAAAACTCAATTTTCCTCTATCATCAAAATTTTTCGCACTGACAATGCCATGGAATATAGAGAATCTATCCTTACCCGATTTCTTTCACAAAATGGAACTATCATTCATAGATCCTGTCCCGGTACCTCTCAACAAAATGGGCGTGCAGAACGAAAACATAGGCATATTCTTGATATTGTTCGAGCTCTTTTAATCTCTTCCTCTTATCCTGAACATTTTTGGGGGGAAGCAGCCCTCACTGCTGTTTATACCATCAATCGCATTCCTTCTCCTATTATTGGTAACATTTCTCCTTATGAACGATTGTATGGCCATTTCCCTGATTACCAGTCTCTTCGTGTATTTGGTTGTGCTTGTTTTATTCTATTACAACCTCATAAACATACCAAATTGGAACCAAAAGCACGTCTATGTTGTTTTCTCGGGTATGGTATTGAACATAAAGGATATCGGTGTTGGGATCCTCTTTCCCAACGACTTCGCATATCTCGTCATGTTACCTTTTGGGAACACAAAATGTTTTCCAGTCTCTCCCCATTTCGAGTTACCACACTATCTTCACATTTTTTTACTGATCCTACTATCTCGTTTTTTTCTGATGATTTACCTGTAGGTCCGACTACTTCATCTAATAGCTCTAACAATACTGCACAACCTGCAACCTCTCCTGATGCATCTACCTTGGCTATGGATCCTCCAGCTCTGCCTTCTTCTGAGCCCTTGATTCCTCCTGATGAATTCAACCCTGCTCATTCTAATGTTTCACTCTATCGCTCTAGTAGGGTCACTATTCTACCATTGTTATTCTACCATTGTATCTTTATATGAGCCTTGTACCTATCGCGAGGCTAGTGCTGACCCTCTATGGCAGAAAGCAATGGCAGAAGAAATTCAAGCTCTTACAAGCACTCATACTTGTGATTTAGTTGACCTGCCTCCAAATAAATCCGTGATTGGTTGCAAATGGGTCTACAAAATCAAGACTCGGGCAGATGGTTCAGTTGAAAGGTATAAAGCTAGATTGGTAGCTAAAAGGTTCACATAGGAGTATGGCATTGATTATGAGGAGACTTTTGCTCCAGTAGCCTGTCTCACTTCTGTTCGCAGTCTTATTGCGATTGCTGCAACTAAGCACCGGTAGTTTTCAGATGGATGTTAAGAATGCTTTTCTCAATGGTGATCTTTCTGAAGAGATTTATATCCTGATTATGATCATCTCCCTAATTAGGTTTGTCGTCTCCGTAAGGCTCTATATGGACTTAAGCAGGCGCCTCGAGCATGGTTTTCCAAATTCATCTCTATTGTTTGTCAATTTGGTTTTCAATCTAACACTTATGATCATGCCTTGTTCATCCAAAAGACCTCTTAGGGTTGTGTACTTCTCCTCTTTTATATGGATGACATGATCATTACTGGCGATGATTTGCAGGGTATTTCTGCTCTTAAGACCTTTCTTAGCAAACAGTTTGAAATGAAAGATCTTGGTCGACTAACTTATTTTTTAAGCATTGAGGTCTCCTCCGACCAATCGGGATATTACCTGTCTCAGGCCAAGTATGCCACTGATCTTGTTTCTTGTGCAGGACTCGCTGATACTAAGACTGTTAACACTCCAATTGAGCCTAAAGCCCATTTGTCAGCCACTAATGGTACTCCTCTTAGTGATTGCACCTTATGTCGGCAACTAGTTGGTAGTCTTGTATACCTTACTGTTACTCGTCCTAATATTGCGTATGTTGTCCATATTGTGAGTCAGTTCATGTCTACTCCTCGCACTACTCATTATGTTGTGCTTCGAATCATCTGTTATGTCAAGGGCACTTTGTTTCATGGACTTCACTACTCCAGTTCTTCCTCTCTTCATTTGATCGCATATTCTGATGCTGATTGGGTCGGTGATCCTACTGATAGACGCTCCACTATTGGTTATTACTTCTTTCTTGGAGACTCTCTTATATCTTAGCATAGTAAGAAGCAAACGTTGTCTCTCGTTCCAGTACTGAAGTTGAATATCGAGCTCTTGCTGACACTACCTCCGAGCTGCTATGGTTTCGATGATTATTCCATGACATGGGAATTACTCATTCATCTGCAACCCCTCTTCACTGTGACAATCGTAGCGCCATACAGATTGCCCACAATGACGTATTTCATGAGCGCACTAAGCATATTGAGATTGATTGTCACTTTATTCGTCATCATGTGCTCGAGGATACTGTTCGTCTTATTCTTGTCCCTTCCCAAGATCAGTCTGCAGATATATTTACTAAAGCTCACTCTCCTCTTCGCTTTCGTGCTCTCGTTGGCAAACTCCAGATGACTGATACATTACCATCTTGAATTTGAGGGGGGATGTTAGCATAATCTATCAAAATTAGTTTCATTATCTCCTTCCTTCTAGGAGATAGCTGTACATACCTTATCTTCTCTTCTTTCCTTTTTGTATCCTCTTTAGGTCACTGACCTTGTCTCCCTATTGTATCCCTATTATAATTAGCTCTATTATAAATAGAATTATAGCCTATTGAATTGGATATATCAAGAGAAACTATTATCTTCTCCATCCTTTTGGGTTCGTATCACTTTGACTAAGGCCCACTAAGAGGAATAAATGCTAATGCCAACGATGTACCACATACTTTGTTTTGCACCAGTATATAGTAACTGTTTGATTCAAAATTGCAAGGTTCACTTGGTACAGTTATATTTAAGAGATGGCGTTCAAAATTAAACAGTGATTGCAGCAAATAGCCACAGAATCCGTGCACGCAGTGGAAGCCAAAACTCATCCAAAGGGACCAACAAAGGGGAGAGTCCCAAGTGGATGCAGAGCTGGAACTTTGAGAAGAACAAAAATATAATGGAGAAATTCAAAGCTGGATAGCAGTGGGAGAAACAACAATCTGACCACTTAGAGCAAAGGCCGTTTAAGACGACTTGCTTCTTGTCCTTCAAGTCTGGACTCTGGACTAACCTTTGTCTCATTTCTCAAATATCCTGCCATGGACCACATGCCCCTGTCATCTGTTTGTTAGCAGGGAATCCACGTACAGAATGTATTATTTTACCTTTTTTTCTAATCGATATTCAATAAATGTGTCCGATCCTTGCTACGTCTAAAAAGTTAAAATCTAGGGTTTTGGGTGGGGGAATTGTTCGGTTGCATGACTCCTCTCCCCTGAGACCGAATCAGCCCCCCACAACGTCCCACAGCACATCCGCACTGTGTATTGAGAACATCTCTCGATACACGGCGGGGATGTACTGTGTGACGTTGTGGGGGGCTGATTTGAACACCTCTCCCCTCATTTGTGACATATGGAACCTACAAACAGAAACTATTGATTTGCTTCTTTTCCTTCTAGGGCTATGAAGCCAATTATGAAGATGAGAATTGAGCAGAAAAAGGGTTTACTCCAGGGTTTTCTTCTTCCTGTCACTGAACCTCAGGCAGATCGCCTATTCAAAATCTTAAACATTTGTATGCAACTGTAAGTGAGTTTCTGTTTATATGACAAGCATATGAAAAGGAAACTCTGCAGCTCTAAGCAGGCACAATTGAGGTGGAAACTCAAGCCTAGTGCATGAGATTCCTAAAAGCCAGCAGTTCTCTTCCAAACCCAGAAGCAGAGAGGAATGATGAAGCAAGATTCCTTTAGGCTGTGTTTGGTTTGACAGAAAATAAGAGAGGAACAGAAAGCTGAAAGAAAGTTCTTAAGGATTTTCACAAATTTTGCAATGAACTTTTTCCTCAACTTCCTCCTCTTATTTTCTATCAAACCAAACAAACCATTAGTCAACTTCAAATATTTGATGTTCAGCTCAAATCATAACAAAGTCCGGTAAGCACAACAACATATAATTCTAAAATAACAGCAAATCCCAAAACGATGTAAGCCATGTAACCCTAAGGCTAAGTGAGACACTAGGTTACAATTTCTCCCTCTTTTACTGAATGTGGATCTGGATTTTCGAAACATACAGCGAACGAAGATAAACTTTGTATTTTTTTTTTCATTTTTGGGGTATGTGAAAGTGATAGAAATGAAAGCATTACTAAATGCCTGATACAAACATAAAGAAGAAACCTGCAACCTATTGATCTGTAGCCATGTAGTAGATAGAATGGAGAGGAATCAGCATTCTTGTAATTATATAAAGCAAAAAATTTATAAGAAAAAAAGGACTGCACAGAAAATTAAGCACCTTGATCAAACCATGAAAGAAGGATAATGACAAAAATGGGGAAAAAGAATTTCACAAACCTTTCACAAGCTGGTAAGGTAAGGAAGTCTTTTGATCTCTCAGTGTCTGCATATTACCACAAAGCAAGGGAGAAGAGCTCTAGGATTCAGTAAATAGAGCTCTTCGATATTTGAATAAAGGCCAACTTTCCCAGCCAATGAATCAAACCCAGTTTGGCCTGCCAGTTCTTGGAAGTTCTCCAATGGTCTATGGACCCTTCCGGCAATAACTCGACAAACTATTAGAGCCTTCTTCACAGATGGATCATCTTCATAGAGTTGGATGGACTCAAAGGCTCTTCCACTTGTTGAAGTTGTGAACACACCAATCCCTCCCTTGAGCTCCTTCTTAGTGGAAAACCCATGTCTGATAATCCGACACACACTGCATTTCTCCAACATACAGAGGTTGGAGGAGCCATTCATGCCGAGGGAGCATGCCACTGTCGTGCCATAGAACCTTAGAAGTTCATTTCCATCCGCTAGGCAACGAGGGTGTTTCTTGGGGAGTTTGCTGGCCTTCATCTTCACCATTTCCCTGTATTCTTCAAAACGAGCAAGGGTCTTTTGCATGTTATGGACCTTCAGAACCCTCTCAATCCGCCCACAATTGTTTTCAGATTTTAACCAGCTTGTCCGGCAAATAATTTCTACAATCTTCCTAGACGAGTCTCCTTCAACAAGTTCAGTGACTGCACAAGTCAACAGAGCAAAAACTGAAACGTTGACAGAGAAAACCACCCAGAGAAGAAAGAAAGGGACAGGTTTAAAGTTGAAAGTTGGATGAAATGAATCCGAAATTCAGGGGATTAGATGAAGCAAAGACCCAGAAATTAGAGAAAATTAACAGCCTAAATCCTACAAACATATGATGGAGAATAATGCGTTACATCTTAACACTGACTCAAATAACTCAGACGATCAAGAAGATGAAACGAAACAGGACATGTCCCTGAGCCTACTAGCTTCATGGATGCTACTGAATTTGAATGGTTTTTCTTTTAGGTAAAAAATTTTGAATATTTTAAAACTGCAAAGCCTTAGAAACAGATATTGGAGTTTTGGAAGGAAGAACTTAAGGGGATCTAACAGAGGAGAAACAGTGTAGGTTATGAGAGGAAAATAATTCACAAGGGAACCAGATACTTATCAGGAAGATAGAGATAAAAAGGAAAGAATGTCAAGGCAATGAAATCAAGTAGAACTTGATAATGAAAAACTGAATAGGTAATCGAGTCTTAATCTTTTATACATGAACTTGTTTATGATTAACGTCAGATGATCTCTGTTTGATATTGAAGGAAGACATTTCACTGTACGTAGAATTGTAAAGGGTGCATATGCTGTAAAAACTGATTGAAGAGGGGAAAACGAATTCTGGTACAAAGAAAACTAAGATGGCTACTTACCCTCTCCCGAAACCTAGGAAGGAAGGAGAAGAATGACAGAAATGTACCCAAATAAGGCTTGGAATAGGAGAAGATTGGATGTAATCTAACGGCGAACAAGAAGCATCAAACATAAACATCCTTCTGAAATGCACAAACAAAAGAATAATATGTACAAGAAGAACAAAATATGAACATCTCTTACCAGCATGCTTGGATAGATGATGAGCCTCTAGAGTTTCCCACTTGCCGAACTGCTCTCCACATTTGTGGCAGGTCACAGTAGAAGAACCATGAGAATCTACCTCATGAGAAGTCCTAGGATTTGAAGGAATACCACCACCATCCCCGCCACCAAATATAGCGGAGCCTCCAAATATGGAACCACCTCTATCAGAGAGAAACCCAGGAGACTTCCTTGGAGGGGTTGCAGAGCTCTTAAGCGAAGGGTTGTAATAGTGCATTGTGTGGTGCCCTCCAGGCCCGGGCGTTCCAGGCCGAAGTGTGCCCACAAATGTTGAGCCATCGCCACCAAGCCCACCACCCGCAACTTCATGTAAACCCCCAAAACCAGTAATCTTAAGCTCACAGGTCGAATTACTGAGAATCACTTCATGGGTTATTGGGTTGAGAAATTCACTACTTCCTATGGATCTCGGACTGCAGCTCGGAGGCTTCTCTAAGTGTCTCTTGCTCCCATGGATTACATCTTTCAGGTTTGCTATGGATCTTGAACAGCCGGACCTCCCTGTTTTTCTTGTCAAGAAGGTGCTCAAATGGCTCCTGGCTTTTGGGTCGTGAACATCTGATGGCTCGGATTTGCAATGAAGGGATCTCTTCAGAACAAACCAAACTGTTGGCATCTTCTTCTTTCCTCCTTTATTTTGTGCCTATATTATGGGGCTTTAAATACTTAAAAATCTTCTCTGCAACTCTTGACCAGCACTGCCCGGAAGAGCCCATCACTTGTTATAGCCATGTTCCTTTCCATTCCTGTTGACCCAGCTTTCAACTAGTAGAGGTGGAAAAAGCAACTAAGGAAATAAGGAAGGTCAGTCATCTGTAATTTCTTTCTATTTTCGGAACGAAACCTCCGTATCTGCACTTTCTTCTGCAATATCAATTTGTAAACCAACCAGCCAATAAAACCTCAACTACCGAAAATTTCAACTCAAAAATCTTCATAAAACACTCATAAAGATGGATTGTTTCAAACTTCAAAGCAGCCCGAACAACCTGCTCGTCTTTTAGGAATCAAACCAACCATTGCAGGAGCTGAACTTGGAAATCCCAACAAAGCAATGATGCTTTGGAAAGTTTTCCTAAATGGGTCTTGAAAAGGAAGAAAAAGATATAGAAATTAATTACTTAGGAGAAACCAAGGGAACCCAGTACTAAAAACAAGAAAAAATATATAAAACAATCAAGTGAAAGAAAAAAAAAAAAAAAACTGACAGAATCTTTGGTTATTGGGGACGTGAAACCAGACTGAGAATTGAGAGTTCCTTGCTCAGTGGCATTAATTAATAAATAAAAAACAGAACAGAGGCTTGGACAGACAGAAATTACGTGATTACACAGAGGGAGGGAGAGAAAGGGACACTAGCTTTCATAAATTTTGCTTTTTCAGAGAAAGAAACAACTTAATTAATTACAGACATTTTTTTTCATGCAAGGTGCATTGCTTGGTGAATCCAAAGAAGATTTCAAGTTGCGATGAATGAAATATGATTCCCCATTATTATAAACCTCGGAAGCATGTCCTCAAATTTATTGTGGCTCTTTAAACTTGGGAGAATTCGGGTAACCAAACAAAGAGAATTGTTTTGTTTGGAACTGGTGCTACCATATCGGCTGTTTTATGAAAAAACAGCACCAATTTTGTTTCGGTGCCAGCAGCAATATATTATCTAACATTAACATCTAAGATGATGTTATATCATTGCATCACTGGCAGTAATGCACTCTTTTCCAAAAAAACGGTTGCTCTAAATTACATTTTTCCGATTCTTAATTCATGGTCTGGAACAATATTTTTTTCAGAAAGGTAGTACCAAATAAGAGGATGTTCGATGTTGTTTAAATTACCACTTTCTCTGACACCTTTTGGGCATCAATGTTAAACATCACATTATACTTTTATTGTGTGAGAAAACGGTGTAATATCGAAGCCACGTCGGCTATCATATCAGAAAACATTTTGAGAAAGAAAAAACATGTCAGAAATAACGTCTTCTCAAGTGAACCGATTTTTTAAAAAGTGGCACCGCATTTATTTACTGTATTTTTAAGAAAATGGCTAATCAAACAACACTCACCGATGTGTTTTTTTGCGTTTTACAAAAATCTGATGTGGTAACAGAATCAAACACCACCTTGGATTTTATGTGCATTAATTACTCCCATCCAACAATAATTCCAATTAAACAGAGATGGGACTTTACTTCATCAGTACGCGGAAATCCCAATTCCGGAACCAGTAATTAATTAAATTAAATGGACCGATAGTAAACATTCATTGTACAGTCAACACCACCATGACTGGAACGTACTGTCGACCTCTTTAAACCGTCGGATTGAAACTGATGATCATGTTCGGTTACTGGATTAGTAGTAGATGACCAGATCCAGATGATCACATTGATCATCCATCCATTTGGGCGGGACCGCGACAAGGAGACATGATATATAAAAAATAAAATTTCAGACAATCCTGCGCTGGTGTGGGACCCACAAATTGAATTCAGTGTTTTCAGAACAAAGAACATGGGTTGGGAGGGATCAGGCAGGGATGAGGGTGTGTGGTATCCAATCCCCCGCACAGTATCGTTGTCGTTACCGAGGTTTGTTTTTGCACTTTGTCTCTTTATTTAAAACATATACCTACCTACACACGCTAGACGCTACATATTAACTCAATAATGCAATGCTGTACGTACTATTATATAAAACTATGACGGCCTTTCAACCCTTGGATTGGAAAGATGTTCCATGTTGCTTCTTCTTTTAAACCCGTAATTCCAGTTATTTCCTCTCAAACAATAGAAGAAAGGCTTCCACTATGATGGCGGATAGACATGTTAATGGGAAAATTGAATACCAATCAATCGGGCATTATAGAAGTAGTAATCAATCAGGTGGGTTGTGATTAGTTAAAGTCTTTATTATATCATGTCTTTTGGTGTCATAGATTATTCGCATAAAAACATTATCTTTTATTGTTGTTATTTAGGCTCAGTTTGGAAATGGTAATGTATGCGGGTGCAAAACCTTATATTTTGGAGGTTGAAGAGGAATAGTAATTCTATTGTATTTCGAGAAGGAAGATGTCGAGAGAGAGAGAGAAAGAGAAAATGGGTCATTGAAATTTAGGACTCTTTGTTTGTCGTCAGAGGACGAAGCTTAAATGATTTAGGTCTAACATTCGGTGAAGGGAGGAAGAAGAAGACCCCGACATTCTATTCTAGGGGTAAAATAGTAAAATAAAATTATCATATGTTGGAAGAACATTCTAACACAAAACACTGTTATATTTTGAAAGGCTATGGAAACTGGAAAGCAGTAAAACCCGACCCAAAATTAATTATAAACCGGATTTGATCGATAGATAAAAACCCAAGTGATGAATTTTTGGTTTTTGCCAATGTTTTAGAAACCAATCCAAAGGTTGGACCATTTTTTCCACTGATTCGATCATCCAAGTTAAATGGGTCAAATTGCAACATGTATTATATATATATATATATATATATAAATAAATACATGTATTAATTTATGTTTAAATTATATTCATTTACTTCTATTTTTATTTATTTTTTATAAAAATGTTAAAAGTTTGGACATGGAAATACAAAATTATGACCACCAGATATTTGTATATACATTAATGTGTAATTTGTGACCTAGTGACCATGTTGAATTGAATGGGTCAATGGTTCAATCATCTGGATTGAACTATTTGTTATCAAAGCCCAAATTTTAGGAAAATCAGACCTGAAATCACGACTGAAAGACAGTTCAAACAATTCAACCGCTTCAATGGGTTTTAAACATTGGTTTTTGCTACATAGCCTCTCTAAATTGAATTTGAGGGAGTTTAGAGGAGATAATAGAAGCATAGATTTCTTCTTTCTATTTCAAGGTGAATATTGAGTGGATGACTGGTGGGTGAGACGAAACAACTTAGCAATTCATTAAAAAAATAAAATAAAACAGCTTAGCAATTCTTTATGGAATTATTGGCAGGAGTGATTAGAGTCTGTAGATGAACAAGCAACGAATGCCATGAAAACAAAGAGCGACAGAGACTGGGCAAAGATAAAGAAAACTCATATTCATTTAAAGAGTTTGATGTGTACAAAACCCACCACCCATTTATTGCAGCACGTGAAATTCAAAATAAAAATTAAAATTCTCAGTATACCCTTGAACAAAACCTAGATGGGGCTGCAAATTGAAAAGCTAACCATTAATGGGTCCCTGACTGATCATCTGCTACAAAACACTGGATTCCTACAGAACTCACTTCTTAGCCTAAAGAAACAAACAAAAGAAAAACAACAAACAAAAACTAACATTACTTGTTGGTTTTTCCTTCCCTTTTCTCTTCCCGGGTAAGGAATGCTTGTTTTATTATATAATGTTTGGACAGGCATTTAAATTAAAAAAAAAAAAAGTACGAAAAAAGACCAATGGGCCAGAAAATAAGGACTCCCGATTTTTTGTCCATAAAAATTCTATTCATGTCTATCTACAACACATTACTCTCATGAATTGTGAACATCTCCCCTACATAATACTATATAGGAGGATGAGATACACTCCATGTATAACTGCGACATTATGTAAATAGATGTGGACAGAGTTTGTACATCCGAACTCGAAAATAAGAATAACCAAATCTCATTCCACATCCATAGTACCCGATCCAGACAAGCTGAATGTGGATCTTGAAAGATTGATCCATTATAATAAAATCCAAATGCAGCATTTCCATTCCAACACTTTTTTTTTCTCTTCTGATTAAAAAGGTTTAGATTCACAAGAAAACCATATTGTTTGATTCTCATATTAAAAAAAGAAAAAGGTTAGAATGTGACAAGCGTTGCCAACCAATTTAAGAAATAAGAATTGAAGTGGGGATGTCTTGCGACTTGCTCTGGTAAATTACACGTTTGTAGGTATCATAAGCAGCACAGTTGAATCCATGTAGCTCGTAGACCTCTTCTTTTGTTTGGATAGATTGGAATTCGATTAGATAAGAATTGTTGGATAGTGGTGGTTTTCAAACATTAAAAGGCTAAACAGTAGTGGACGTCAGAGCATTTCACTTTCACTTCTGTGGGCCTTAGTTTGACATAGGCCCAATATCAAAACTGCCGACCTGCCCAACCTAATGATATTCAAATACGGCTGTGAGGAGTTCAGACGTTCATCGTTCATGAGCGGGAGGGGACCTCCGACCGTACGCCAATCAACATATGTTTTCGGGTTGGGGAAAATTATGCTGCGGGAAAGACACGGTATGAGAAAAGTTTTGATCAATCAAAATCTATTCATGAATTTTAATAAATAACATCTGATTGGATTTTACATTTATGATTCTAATTGATTGGTTAGAAGTTTTTAGATATCATATCTTTCTCATATCATAATCGGACCCGATTGACTGACATGACATGGCATGACAAAAACATCATGGCTTTTGTGAACTCCTTATGGGCCGGATTGACCCCCTCTTGTATGGGCTCTGGGCCCTGATGATGTACTTATGAAATATTTATCCTTGTATATTTATAAAATAAAATGGATCTTTCTTTATTGACAAAAGAAACCAAACTGTAAATTGCTTATCCATTGGACTAGTAGTAGTGGTTTTATATATCTAAGTAAACAACCCCTTTATGCAACTCTACTATACCCCTACATAGATTTATAGAAACAAGAAGGTATCGTGTATCCAACTGTGTCTTTTAATGTGGTTTTTCTTTTTCATGGATCCCACCATGTTTGTATTGTCAAGTTTCCAGGGGTTGCAGAAACTTCTTATTTAGTAGCAGCTGTAAATGGATTGAATCAAATCCAATGTATTTATACCCAAATTTGATTTATTAATATCCCGATCAATTTCAAACGAAGACTACCCATCAAATTCAGACTGAAATGAATACAATGAATAACTTAAATTATTGATAGAACCGACAAAAATGACTTTTACATTGTGCATCATCATGAATAAAATGGCTTAAAAGTTAAAACTTCTATTAGACTTTTACCATGTTTTTACACTTTGGTAAATATATATCAAACAACTTTACTTATAGATGCATAATAATTTTATTTTTATTATAATGCTAACACTTGCCCCTGCCCTCACGTCAAGACAACCTTTCCAACATTTTAGTTCATTTCTTTTATTCACTCTCCTCTTGCACGTGTAAATACATGTGTTAGTCAATTATTATGGTGTAGATATAAGCACATGGATCAGATTGGGGTGGATAATTTTTTTTGATCAGCAAGAAATTTTTAATTAATAACAGAGAAAAACTTAGAATTAGCTACAATAGTTATAGGTTACAGAAAAATATTAATCTAATCTACAATTAGGGTTGTTCATAAGAAGGCCCAACCCGACCAAATTGATCAACCCAGACCGACCCAACCCAAG